CGACAAGTACCCCAACAGGGCGACAAGTACTAGGAGCCGACAGACGTTCCAATAATGCGGGAAGTAGCGAAAAACCTTCCCGTACCCTCGAGAACACAGAAGCCAACACTAGTTCCGAAGGCACACGAAGGCGCAGGCGCACCCGAGATCAAAAGTCACGCAGAACCCCAACGAACGGGGAAACATGACAAAAACACCGTCCCAAAAAGCGGGGGAGGAAACATCCACCCACAGGACGGAACCAACCGACTCAAAGGCCAAGGAACCGAGCCCGGGGAGGGGCCGACGTCCAACAGCACGTACGGCGAGTGGGGAGGAAAGACCCCACTCCGCGTAACCACAAGCCCCGCCTAGAGGGGGATAAAACCCCCCACGGGGTCTAACGGGGCCAAGGCCCCCCCAAGGCAGCCCCTCCCCAGCCCCGGGAACCTACACGACAGGCCCCGGGGCCGAGCCGTTCCCCCAAAGCCCCGGCCGTACCAGAAAACCGGGGCAGCCGTGAAAACACTAAGGAAGGGAGCCCACTGGCAGACTCATACAACACGGCTGGAGGAACAGGCCCAAATGCCCCCGTCACTACCCCGGAAGGGGAATTCCCCGAGACTGCCCGAGTCTCAACACCACGAAACACCCCGCCCTGAACCTACAGACGGTAAGGAACCGGATGCAGGCAGGAAGGGTGAACCAGGGGAAAGACAAGGGGGCGTGGATGCAACCAACACCCCCAAGTCCCAAAACGAAATACAACGGGGCAGCCCCGGGGCTCCCGGGGAGGAAACCACGAGAACGTTGCCACCACCAAGGCTCAAGTGCAACGCCCCTGCTGCCCGCACCCGCTTTGTTAGCACAACTGGGTAACCGAGCCACAACGAGCAACCAAACTCGCAGGACACCGGGTCGAAGGTGTCACCGACCCCACAGGCAGCAGACGGAGGCAAAACAGAGAGTCACCCAGAGACAAAAGGTGAGAGCAACCCTCAAACTCGCTGGAAGCGAGGGGGGGGCTCTGGGGTCACATCCATCGGACCCGCGCGCCCCCAGGGGTTTCCCAGGGTCCCGAGCGTTTACTTTAAGAGGACTCGCGCTCAGGTAATCCCAGGCAGGGTACTGCTAACCGGCACCCAAGCTACCAAACAACTTTCTAAGAGCTGAACCCCCGGGACGTGTACACTCACGGGGACCTAGCAGGGGGGTACCACCAGAAATACTCAGAACACAAGGGACACAAGGGGCAAGAACGAAGGCAGACCCCCCCACCAGGTATATAAACAAAAGAAAAAGAAAACCCCGCAAGAGGACAGCGTACCCAAGCGGAACAGAGCCGGCCGCTATGATTGGTAAAGACAAGCTGCACAGTACCCCGCGCCCCACCAGTGCAAACACCGCCCCTTACTCTAAGGCGAACAAGGGAGACAGAACACCCGAGCACACAAAGAGCGGCCGAAAACCAAGCGGTAAACGGCCAAGCAGGGGCAGGACCCAAGGAACTTGTGGAAGGTGGCCCCAAGCCCCAAGGGCAGTACTTACAGGGCACCTAGGGAAGGGAACCCTAGGCGCATGCAGCCCGAGTACTGAAGAATCACACCCGGCTCACGCACCACCTAGAAAACAGACACCACACTCTAGGTACAGTGCTGAAACAACCACTGGAGCCGGAGCACATAACCATTGCCTATAGCATCAGCCGAAGAACTGATGGGTGGATAGCCGGCGTGGGAGGTCTGGGGCTCCCCCTTCCCCCTCCCGGGGAGGGGGGAGCTGCGCAGACAGCGGCGCGGTGACGTATGACGTCATACTAGTTTCCGTGTTTTCTGTTGAAGAGTTCTATTCACTAGTTCGGCTTAGGTAGCAATTTTCACCAGAATAGGGGTTTGTTTTGGAATGCTTACCTTTCTGGATGCTTGACCCGGTCGATGGCAGACATAGAATGCTTCCAACCACACGGGGGTTTCTATAGGCCATTGCTCCCCTTGCCTCTCTGAGGGGGCCAGGTTCTGGCTCGTGGTCCCCGGTAGGCCCTAGAACTCCATACACATGACTGATGCCAAAGTCTGACATTAGCATATCCGCCGGTAAAGCTCCGGGGAGCCGACGGGGCTCCCCCCAGAAAAAATCCTTTTTTTTTTCTTAAAATTTTTTTCCAATTAAACTAATTATAATATTTGTTTAATATATGCTATTGTGATAGCAAAGAGTCGTAGTTATGATTTCAGTTGACACTTTTGATTGATAATCGATTTTGACCATTTTTACATAATTTTCACAACTACTTCAATATTTTTTTCTTCCTTCCTATTTATGCTACGATGCTGAAACTTGGACCAGATGAAACACTTTTCATATAGAACTTGTCAAAAAAGTTTGATTGAAATCAAACGAGTTTTCATTTTTGCATTTTTGGACCCAGATGCCAACCAGACGCCCCCTTAAAGAACACAATAAAGTAGCCGTCACAACTGCAAGAAAAATGATAGGTTGGATAACAAGAACTTTTCACACTAGAGACGCTATACCGATGATGATACTTTTCAAAGCGCTTGTGCTCTCTAGAGTGGAGTACTGCTGCACAATGACAGCCCCTTTCAAAGCTGGAGAAATTGCTGACCTAGAGAGCGTGCAGAGATCCTTTACTGCTAGAATCCACTCAGTAAAACATCTAAATTACTGGGACCGACTAAAGAGCCTAAATCTGTACTCCCTTGAGCGCAGGCGGGAGAGATACATAATAATTTACACGTGGAAAATAATTGAGGGGCTGGTCCCAAACCTGCACACAGAAATAACACCACATGAGACCAGAAGACATGGCAGGATGTGCAGAATACCCCCGTTGAAAAGCAGAGGTGCAACAGGTACTCTGAGAGAGAACTCTATCAACATCAGAGGCCCAAGACTGTTCAACACGCTTCCACTACACATAAGGGGCATAACTGGCAAACCCCTCACAGTGTTCAAGAGAGAACTGGATAAGCACCTCCAAAGGATACCTGATCAACCAGGCTGTGACTCATACGTCAGGCTGCGAGCAGCCGCGTCCAACAGCCTGGTTGACCAGTCCAGCAACCAGGAGGCCTGGTCGACGACCGGGCCGCGGGGACACTAAGCCCCGGAAGCACCTCAAGGTACTCAAGGTAGGTAGCAAGGGGTACCACCAACCACACAAAAACTAAGAATAGATATAATGATAGATATATACACACACCAACATAGAAGGGACAATCACCAGAGCAGACCCTCTCACCAGGCAAAAAAACAAAAGCAAAACCCCACAAGAGGACAACGTACCCAGGTGGAACAGAGCCGGCCGCTGTAAGAGGTAAAAACTAGCTGTGCAGTACCCCGCGGCCCCTACCAGTGACAAAAACTACCCCTATCCAAAGGCAAACATGGGCAACAAAAACCCCAGTTGACTCCAAGGGTGGCCAAGTACTGAGCAGTAAAAGACACATCGGGGACAGATCCCGAAGTGACTTGTGGATGCCCCAAGGGTAGTACTTACAGAGCACCTAGGGAAGGTGGCCCTAGGCGCATGCAGCTCGAGTGCCAAAGAATATTACTCCTGGCTCACACACCACCAGTAAAGACAGTCCACGCCACAAGGCACAGAATCTGAGACAAATTGCTGGAGACAGAGGCACAAGACCACGCCAGTAGCACATCAGCCTGAGAACTGAAGGGTGGATCGCCGGCGTGGGGGTCTGGGGTTCCCCCTTCCCCCTCCCGGGGAGGGGGAATTTGCGCAGACAGTGGTGCGGCGACATAACATCATGGTCATTTGCTAATTTTCGTTTGGGGAGTTCTGTCCACTGGTTTGGCTTTCGGTAGCAATAATTACACCAGAATAAGGGTTTGTTTTGGGGCACCACCATTTCTGGGTGCTAGATCCGGTCGATGCGAGACACAGAACCTGTCCCCTCTTCTCTTGAGGGGGCCAGGTTCTGGCTCATGGTCCTCGGTAGGCAAGAACTCCGTGCACATTGACTGATACCAGAAAGTTATACATATCCATTCAGCCTGGATAGCTCCGGGGCACCGACAGGGTCCCCCCCAGAAAAGGGTTCACACCCCGAAGTCAAAGAGTGGGTTCATGCCCGAACAAAGTAACTACTACTTAGGTAATTCCTTAAACCACAGTGCGCACCATCAGCCAAACTCACTCCCGACCTGAGGAAAGACAGACAGTCAAGGAGAGCTAGCTTATCAGAAGGGCGAGGAGCCACCACAAGTGAAGAGAGTTCCCTAAGGCAGTGAACACTCCAGATAACACTGGCAGTGCAAGGGGCAGCACTAAAGGAGCACCCAGGGAAAAGAACCTTGAACACATGCAGCCTCAAGCACACACTCAACTCCTGGCTCAAACTGAATAGGAATAGGCACAATGGCAACTCCCACTTAGCTGGAAAGCAGGACATCAGAGCCAGAGTGACAGAGAGGGCACCTCACACTGTCTACCATCCGCAACAACTGAGAATGAAGCTGCTCACCCCTGGCTACCTCACCCCCTACCCACAAATGAGGGGAATAGGTGGGGCAAACAAGCTAGTACTGAGTACTGGTTTCATGAATTTTCAATTGTTTACACTGCTGGGGAGGGGGGGGGGGAGTTCTTTTGCAAGTTCTGAAGCAAAAGTCACCCTTCTCACTAGCAGTGGTCTGTTTTAGTTCGCTGACTTTCAGACCACTTCTGTGGTGGTGGTGACAGACATGATTAAATGCCACAGACAATTTTATCATAGTGCCACTGATTCTTATTCTTCTCTGAGGGAGCCAGTTTCTGGCTTTTGGTCCCCCTAGGCTGAAAAGAACTCTGTGACTGATGGTATCAAGTAGTTTGGCACTATATCATTATAGTAGCTTCAGGGAGCCACTGGGGCTCATCCAGAAAATATGACTTTTCTTCTAAAACTTTCACTTCATAAATGGATCTTAACCTATTGTTATAAAATCTATTAAAACCGAATACAAAATTGAATAGTAAGTGAGGATGTATTATTTCTTACCTGTTCCATCACCTCCGGTGCCATCCAACATGGAGTTCCAACAAAGGTATGCCGAGATTTTTGACGTGATAAATCTCCTCCAGTTGACAGCCAGGCACTTACACCAAAATCAGCAATTTGTACAACACCATCTTCACCTAACAATATATTTCCCGCTTTGATATCTCTGAAAAATATCAAATGATGCATTACTTTCCTAAGTACTGTAATGTGCATATACAATGACCTATCATCTTATGTACATTGCCATAATTATGAAACAATATACTGTACTGTAATAGCTAACCATGATGACCTAGTAAGTACGTTCTAACTTCAAACCTTTAACTTTTGGCAACAACTTTCATCTCAACACTCTTGGTCTGGCAATATTTCTTCCACCTTCCAGTAATTTTCCTTAATAAATTGGCATCCTACTATTACTATATTATTTTAAGAAAATGTGAGTTATCTATTAATAATGTTATCTATGGTCTTGAATTACGATCATCAACAACAGCATACATCCAATTATTTTCATGCACATTACTAACTTACAGCAGCAGGGAACCACACGATGACCAATCACCCGCACACCAGAATATGAAGAAATGACGACATTTCAGTATGTCACGGACCATTATCAAGTTGTATTATCAACGTTGTCGTTTCTTCATCTTCTGGTGTATGGTTTGGTCACCATACCTTCAGCCACATTATTGCAGCCCAAACTCCTGTTTTGGTAGTACTTATAGTAACCATGAGGACCATAGTATATATACCAACGTACAACGAAATTAAAAACTAGAAATCTGAACTACTGAGTTAGACAGCCGGAAAACTATTTATTACTTGTGTTGCTTTGACAAACTAAGCTAACCTAAGTAAACCTTCCTAGGCCTAATACACAATATCTGAGGCCTAATATAGTACATGTGTGCTATAATAAGCCTAGGAATATTTAAGTTTGTTTTTAAGCTTCATTTATTTTAAAAGAATTCCTTACTAGTCAGTATACTGCTATGTAAAAGCTAAGTTTGTATGAATTCATGACTATTCACAACTGTCACAATAGGTACTATCTAAAGAGGAGGATGGGTTGTACAATTATCTACACCCACATGTAACCCACTATTATATTCTTGTTTATTAACACCATCACGGTGTCTGCTGGTCATGCACATTACTAACAACAGACACACATAAGAGGTTGTTCTGGATACTGAAACATACGGGAGTGACAGGGAGGCTTCTAACATGGATGAACAATTTTCTGATAGAAAAATGAGGGCAATAATCAGAGGCATGGTATCAGACAGAAGAAATGTCATGAGTGGAGCTACATGATTCAGTTCTTGCACCGGTAATGTTCATTGACTACATAAACGATCTACCAGAAAGAATACAGAATTATATGAACATATTTGCCGAAGATGCTAAGATACTAGGGAGGATAAGAAACTCACATGATTGTCATACCTTTCAAGAAGACCTGGACAAAATAAGTATACTGTATAGAGCCCCATTTGGCAAATTGAAGTTAACATGAATAAATGCCATATTATGGAATTTGGAATAGGATAAAATAGGCTACAAGAATCTACAAATTATGTGAGAAAGATTAACAAATTCTGATAAAGAAAGATATCTTGGGGTGGTTCAAAAAGACTGTCACCCGAGGACTACATAAAAAATATTGTGCGAAGAGCCTATGCTATGCTTTCCAATTTCAGAATTATTCTTAAATACTGTACTGTACAAGGATGGTGAAATAATAAAGAAATGGTGCAAAACTCTGTGAAACCAATGTTGGAATATGCAGCTGCGATGGTAACCATTTCTTAAGAAGCACATAATCAAACTGGAAAAGGTACAAAGACATGCAACTAAATGGCTTCTGGAACTGAAAGAAAAAGAGCTACAAGGAGAGGTTAGAAGCATTAAATATGCCAAAGCTAGAAGATAAAAGAAAAAGAGGCTTATGATAACTGCTTCCAAAATAATAATGGCAATCAACAAAATTGATAAAGAAGAATTCTTGAGACCTGGAACTTCAAGAACCAAGAGGCAATGGATTTAAGCTAACTAAACAAAGCTGCTGAAAAAATATTAGATAAATCACTTTCACAAACTGAGTGGTTGATGGTTGGAACAAGTTGAGCGAGAAGGTGGTAGAGGCCCAAACCGTCATAAATTTACATGACAAATTATATGACAAAGAGTGCTGGGAAGACGGGTCACCTTGAGCATAACTCTCATCCTGTAACTACACTATTATATTCTTGTTTATTAACACCATCCAGGTGTCTGCTGGTAAACCAGAGTTCAGCAGACATGGCTAACTGCCATTTTACCCCAATGGTCTTAAAAAGAGTTACTCTGCAATTCCTAAGCCAAATACAAATTATTCTTATTATTACTGTATATACCATATTATTATTTGTAAAGTTAAGTGCCCTATTATTATATTACCACACTGCCGAATTCTGCGTCATTATTTGATTCACATTGAACCAATTAGTCTGGCAAGGAATGTTTCTTTAAATAATAGTCAAAACATTAGTGTGTCAAACACAGAAACTCAGATCCAAGTCTTAGCAGCATCTGACATATACTGTCTCACATTAAAGTGAGGAAGAACAAATGAGAAAGACTCAGAAAAACAAAAATCATTAAACATCCTGGTCGTGGATAGATAAACCTGTTTAATTATTAATTACCTATGAATTTGTCCATTATTGTGAAAGTACTCAAGGCCCTTCAATACCTCGCGTAACGCTGTTGCGATTACTGCTTCATCAAACACCCCATGCTTACAGTCTGACGTCTTCATTCTACAAAAGATAAAGACAAGAGATAAAATTTATAAATAATTAGTCTTACCAAAAAACCAGCGTTGAATGTAATGAAATAGCATTTTCTGGGTGAGCCCCTCTTATCGGGGCTACTCTATGTAATATTAGACCAGGACATTAGCTATGGAGTTCAGACCTATTAGGGACCATGAGCCAGAACCTGGCCCCTTCAGAGAGGTTGCAGGGAACAATGGCCCTGGAAAAACCCCTTGTGGTTGGGGGTTTTCCTTATCTGCCATCGACCGGGGTTAGCCACTCAGAAAGGTAGGCATAACAAAACAAACCCCACATGGTAAGAAACTAACAACAAAAACCGAACAGAGAGATAGAACTCCCTACAATCCCAAGGAAACAAGCAAACATGCAAATGTAACACACTACTGCCACACCACTCGTCTGCGCAGCCCTCGCCTCCCTGAGAGGGGAAGGGGGGCGCTGGACCTCACCGTGCCGGCTGCATAGCACTCCAGTTCGGAAGCGAAGTGTCAACAAACGCGAAAAAACGCCGACCAGTGGGAGGGAGGGTTGCCAGGGAGCCTCCAGGGGTCACCCATAAAATGGCATTTCATTACATTCGACGTTGGTTTCTGTGGGGAGCCCCTACGGCTCCCTGGAGCTTCATACCTAAAGAGAAGGAAAAGAAAGGGCTAACCTGGGAGGCAGCCGCCACAAACTCCGCAATGCAAAGTCGAGACGACACTCTGCAACCTGCGACCCGAACGAACACCAGAATGCCCAGGAGCAGACATGCTCAGAAAATAACGGGTGGCCAGGAACCTGAACGACCTCCAAATCCCTGCGCCCGAATGAGCCCAAGACACGTCGCCAACCTCGGCAGCAAAAGTGCCGAGCACTTTTGCTGCCGAGGACTAGCACAGGTGCGAGGATATCCCGCAGGCTGGCTAGACTTAACCCAGCGGTCGACCTGGGAGACCCGAGCCCTGGAACGGGGAATGAGAGAAACCGAATCAACCCAAAGCACATTTCTAGCCACGGCACGCAGGTAACGGCGAAGAGCCGCAACCGGACACAACACAAGACGCACCCCCGGCCGAACCAACCAAGCATCAATAACCCAAGGACCCCTCAGGAAAGCAGCCGTCTCGGCCTTCGCCAGAAAAGACGGAGAAGGCTGCAAACGTACAAACCTACCATCAGAACCAAAAGAGCAGAAACTCCTGCGCTGGAGGAGAGCCGGAAGCACCCAACCTGACCCCCAGAGGCCAATGCCAATAAATATAAGACCTGTGAAAAACAAACTTGAACCGAAAGGGCTACCACACACCAAGCAGAGGAAAGATAAGAGAGCACCCTGACCAAGGACCAGGACGGCTCAGGCAGCGCATGAGTAGGCCGGAGGTGAAACAAAGCACAAGAAAGCATATGGAACGGACAGATGTGATGTCCACCCCAAACGTAAGCTGGAGCGGCTCCGCCAGCGTTGCACGATATGAGGCGACAGTAAGAAGCATCAATAATGGTCCGGAAGACCAAGAAAGGACAAGACAACCCGATGCGAAAGAGAAGACAACCTACAAAGAGCAAGAAAATGGCGAATAGGAACGCCAGGAAACCTCATACTGTCGCCGAGATGAAGCTCACAAGTGGGACACCATCAACGAAGCCACCTGATCACCATAGAGATGGTGATACACCTGCATCAAAAGACCAGACGCGAAGAGCCAAGGAGAAGGCCGAACCAGCCACGTACTAGACTGGTCCGACCTGCCAAAAGAGGCAGAGCCGCAAGAAACGCCCCGGGTTCAGACACCGATCAAGCAGCATCTGAAAACAAGCTGGGCCGGCCACGAGGACTACTCTCCGTGAGAAGGACTTCAACCGAGCCAGAACCCGAAGCAACAGTTGGACCGGGGGAAGAGGTTCAGGTAACTCCACCTCGGCCAGACCTACCGAAAGGCATCCACCACAAACGCCTCTCAGGAAGGGAAGGGCGCCACATAAAATGGGAGACACCGAGACCACGCCAATGTGAAGACGTCCATGTCCGGGAGTTCGTACGTCCGGCAGTGCCAACGAAATTGGTGACGACTGGCCAATACATGAACAGAGGAATGAACCGAGGCCGTCCGCCAGGACGTAGGACACTCCCCGGACACGAAATGCATGGAGAACCAAACCCCGAGAATCCAACAGACGATCCACTCGAAGGGACCAACCCCAAAGGGGCAAGGACCGAAGAGAACCCCCGTGGTTCCGGCAATAAACCACCGGAGAACAGTCCGAATAGAGCCGGATGGTAGAGCCCCGAGTGACCCGAACCCTCTGAAGTGCAACCAGACAGCCATGAACTCCCGAACCGTGCTGTGAGCCTGACGGAAGGACAAGGATGAGGAACACCTGGCCACCGCAAAACACAAAAACACAGCAGTGCGCACCACGAAGGCAAACACCGCCTAGGAAACTCAGGCCAGAGAAGCGTCTGTCCCAGTTGGCATTAGCTTACGAACTGGAGTGCTATGCAGCCGGCGCGGTGAGGTCCAGCCCCCCCCCTCGTCCCTCTCTTCGGGAGAGGAGGGCTGCGCGGATGAGCAGCACGGCAGTAGTGTGTTACGTTTGCTTGTTTCCTTGTTTTCTTGGGATTGTAGGAAGTTCTGGTTGATACCTGGTTGATGGGGTTCTGGGAGTTCTTCTACTTCCCAAGCCCGGCCCAAGGCCAGGCTTGACTTGTGAGAGTTTGGTCCACTAGGCTGTTGCTTGGAGCGACCCGCAGGCCCACATACCCACCACAGCCCGGTTGGTCCGGCACTCCTTAGAGGAATAAATCTAGTTTCCTCTTGAAGATGTCCACGGTTGTTCCGGCAATATTTTTTATGCTCGCTGGGAGGGCGTTGAACAACCGTGGACTTCTGATGTTTATACAGTGTTCTCTAATTGTGCCTATGGCACCCCTGCTCTTCACCAATTCTATTCTGCATTTTCTACCATATCGTTCACTCCAGTACGTTGTTATTTTACTGTGTAGATTTGTACTTGGCCCTCCAGTATCTTCCAGGTGTATATTATTTGATATCTCTCTCGTCTTCTTTCTAGTGAGTACATTTGGAGGGCTTTGAGATGATCCCAATAATTTAGGTGCTTTATTGCATCTATGCATGCCCTATATGTTTTCTGTATTCCCTCTATTTCAGCAATCTCTCCTACGCTGAAGGGGGAAGTGAGTACTGAGCAGTACTCAAGACGGGACAACACAAGTGACTTGAAGAGTACGACCATTGTGATGGGATCCCTGGATTTGAAAGTTCTTGTAATCCATCCTATCATTTTTCTGGCTGATGCAATATTTGCTTGGTTATGCTCCCTAAACGTTAGGTCATCAGACATCATTATTCCCAAATCCTTTACATGCTGTTTTCCTACTATGGGCACATTTGATTGTGTTCTGTACCCTGTATTATGTTTAAGGTCCTCATTTTTACCATACCTGAGTACCTGGAATGTATCACTGTTAAACATCATGTTATTTTCTGATGCCCAGTCAAAAACTTTATTAATATCTGCTTGAAGTTTTTCAATGTCTTCAGCCGAGGTAATTTTCACACTGATTTTTGTGTCATCTGCAAAGGATGACATGAAGCTGTGACTTGTATTTTTGTCTATATCTGATATGAGAATAAGGAAAAGCAGCGGTGCAAGGACTGTACCCTGAGGTACAGAACTTTTAACTGCACTCGGACTAGATTTTATATGGCTGACCGTTACTCGCTGAGTCCTGTTTGACAGAAAACTGAGTATCCAGCGTCCTACTTTACCGGTTATTCCCATTTGTGTGTTTTGTATTCCCATTCATTCATTTTGTGTGCTTTCACGCCATGGTCACATTTATCAAAAGCCTTTGCGAAGTCCGTGTATCTACCAGTTCTACTTCTCTGTTCGGTTTTTGTTGTTAGTTTCTTACCATGTGGGGTTTGTTTTGTTATGCCTACCTTTCTGAGTGGCTAACCTCAGTTGATGGCAGATAAGGAAAACCCCCAACCACAAGGGGGTTTTCTAGGGCCATTGCTCCGTGCAACCTCTCTGAAGGGGCCAGATTCTGGCTCATGGTCCCTGGTAAGTCTGAACTCCATAGCTAAAGTCCCGGTCTAATATAACATACATTAGCCCGATAAGCTCCAGGGAGTCGTAGGGATTCCCCACAGAAAAGTAGTACAAAGGTTACATATAAAATCTTTCCTTTTACATGTATTATATAACAACAGTGGCCCCCTGGCCAGAAAAGGCCAGCGGCGGCCCCTGACCAGCGAGGGGCCAGCAGCAGCCCTCCATCAGTTATGTGCACAATTCGGTGCGTGAGTTTTCAACAATGTGCCTTGCCAAGGGGAGTATTCAGATTTCTCCAGGCTCCGTGCTCCAGTTCAATTCGGACTGCTCCCCCGTAGTTCTTGCCAGAACCAAGGATAGAGGGCCAGTCTCTTTGGTCCATTCCGAACACTTTGTGGTGCTGAACACTGCATACTGCATGTAGCTCATCTTCTGGTTTCTCTAGGTTTGGTTCTCTGTACTGTACATGTTCATGAAGTACCCAATGTTCTCACTGATGGCTAGTATTTCCTGTCATCTCTAAAGAGTGGCCCATTGACAACATGTCCTTCTGGTGGCTTTCTGGGACATTTGGGCACCCTGATGTGGACCTCTGTGTGGTGTGAAATTGGTGCTCTGTTCCCCAATAGTGAAGCTCTGGCAATGGATGCTTCTTAGCTGGACTGGCTAAGGTGGGGTTCATTGACCTCTTTTTCCCTAGTTCAGCTGTTGTTCTGGTCATTGCCAGATTGAAGCTCAAACTAGGTTTCTGGATCTTATTGCCTAGTGTCTTGACCCAGGTATTTTCCATGACTGCCTCTTCCAGATTGGTCTGGTGACATACCTTGCTGGTTCAAACTTCTCAGCTCTTTCCGTCTGGATTTTCCAACGCTTCTCTAGCGCCAGTTCTACAGCAAACAGGTGGCTGGGTTAATGGTGAA